ATACTTGATTTTTGAATTTTAAAACTATTTACCTTATTTTTGAATTGAGGTAAAGGATACATCTTAAATATGATTTTTTCCCTTAAGTTTTGACCCATGGCCACCTGCCCAGTGGGAATGGAATCAAAAACTTGACTCTACGACTACGAAATCGATGAAAGACTACACTATCAGAGGTGGGGTTGGAACCAGAAACTCGACTCCATGAAATCAATGAAAGATTGCACTTTAGTAGGTGGGGTGGAACGAAAAACCCGACTCTACTAATCCATTGAAAGACTATAATATTTTAATAAGTTAGGTTAGAACGAGAAACCTAACTCAACGATTACTAGACCGATGAAATACCCCACTTCCATAATAGCCTAGTAGGGTGACTTGGAACTTTTTGTAGTGCTAGAAAAAAATGAAGTGAATAAATTCGATCTCGAACAAGTGAAGTAACAAATTTTTCTAACTCTCGACGGATAAAATCTTAGATGGGATGGCAATTTTAATTTATTTTCTGAAATGGGACTTCTCAACGTTTCTCTAATTTTAAGCCAAGAGAACTAACTCTATTTATACTGGATATGGTCTTCTTGATTGGGAAGAATCACATGACAGCAAAGTTTGTGGAACATTTCTTAATTCACTACCATTCTCCCACGAGGTTCACAAAGTTGAGCACGTGTTTTTGAGTTGGACGGGAAAATTAATTTGGACACGTGGGAATTAGCAAAAAAAAGCACGTGGGGAGAATAAATGACTGCAAGATGTTGGGTTCAGACAGTGATTTATCTCTTACTAATAATAGGAAAATTGAAATTGGGACATGAATTTGGTTTATTGGTGTAGACCATTTTGCCACACTACACGTGGCAACTTTGTCGTCAATTTTTATTTTGCAATTCCACCGAAATTTAATGATTTTTTAGTCAATTTGCTCAAAAAGCACGTGTTTTGGACTTCTGGATCTCAATTTCTCTTTCATTTTTTTTTAATTCTTTTTTAGTATTTATAAGATTTTAGATTTCCCATCCAATAGTTCCAGTCAATTTGTCTCTAAAAATATTACATGTGCCTCACATAACATATTATTTTAATTGATTGATACCATTAAAAAGGAAATTAAAATTGAAAAAATATTTATAAATGAATATAAGTTCTTATGAAATTATATATGTAATGTGAAAATGTTTGAATAAATTTAAATGTAATGCCATAATTACAAACACACTTTTTTGTACACAATATTTTTTATCAACGTCCCACATCTTTTCTTCTTCGTATTTTCTGATTTTTCTAAGACATTTATTATTTGTATTGAAACTCCATGAGAAAATGCAGCATATAAATTACCCATAAGAGAATACATGTTCAAGAAGAAATATTGTAGTCAATGTTTGTCCTTGAACCTCGTTGATAGTCGCTGCAAATTATAGACGTATTGAAAATTGTTCTCTCTTAAATTTGAATGGATATCCTTCATCATTTGTTGGAGTTAATGGAATGCGTGGAAGGAATATTTGTTTTCCAAATTGTTGTCCAACGATTATTTTTGCAAAGATAATATGTTTCTTAAAATAACGAGAAATCATTCTTATTTCTATTGCAAAGATCGTTGGATGTTTCCAGATTCCTCATAAGCATACTTTTACACTTTTATTTGGCCAGTTTTTTAAAAATATTTAATTAAAATATGATTATGTTATATATCTAATCACCGAAGTTAATAAATATTACACAAATCATTACTTTGTTAATCAAAATATCATCTAACCTATGTTGTACCGTTAATATCAAGTAGGATTCACACGTTTTAATTCTTTTTGCCACACGAGGAATGAAATAGTCAATTGAATATTAAGCCCCTGAATTTCCGTTTAATTTTTTTTTTTTTAAGTAATTGAATGTCGGTTTCACTCCTTGTATTAATTTCAAACCAAATGATAAATATCAATTAAATAATAACTTAATGCATGAATTATAATGTAAATTATGAAAATTAATATGGAATTTGTTGACCAAAAAAATAAAGAACAAAATAATCAATTGAATGTTTCCCACTCATTCGGGTAATAATTAAGAGTTATTTACTTTAACATATTTGTGACTTCATTAATATAGTAATGCAACCTTTCAACTTATTTTTTACAAGTTAATTATAATTTAATAATATTTTATCACGTAACTACTATTCATTTATCCATCTTTAATTCTATTCACAATATAATTTCAACTACTTATAAGGAAACCAAACAAGCACCACGCACGTATCATCTTCGGTGGAGGGCGGCTGGACTGGGGGAAGTGATAGTGGAGGAAGAAGAATATTTCTTTTTTTTCATTTTTTTTTTTGTTTCTAATTCCTCATCTTTGAAGTTTCAATTGTTCTAACTATTTAATTGGATAGGGTGGCTGAAAAAATCACGTGGATGATCCCGAGTTGTATTTCATTTAAAAGAACGGTATATTAATTTTAGAATGTGCAACATAACTTTCAGAAAACAATATTCCAATTCGCTCAACCTTAAGGAAAAGAAACAAAAACACACGCGGCAATTTCTACCAATTTACTAAATCAAATCAAATCAAATCAAAGGACGAGACAAAAAAAGAGGTACGTAGGGAATAATCCAACATACACGAACAAGAAAAAAATATTTCATGAATGAGCGACGCAAAGTTGCTCGCCAAAAATGTGTGTTCATGAGATTTTATCCATTCGGTACTATCTAATACAGAATACCAAACATACATTTTAAAAATTTTATTTTACATTGCACTTTCTCATTCAGTCAAACGAAACATGCACTAAGAGTTCTTTTTATGTTTGTTAAAGTAAAACATCATCCTCAAGATGCAAGCCTTAAGATCAATAGTTCTCTGCTTTGATCAACTCCTCAAGTGCACAACCCAAAAGAAAAATACAAGCCGTGTCCATAGAAAAATAAAAACAGTATAAGCCCAGTAAACTAATAATCAAACGTCTACCCTTCATTTGAACTTCATAAACATCTGTTTAAAGTGCAGTACAGCACCAAACAATTAGCCACTGTAAACTCCCTCAGAAAATATGTTCTTGGAATAAAAGGGTCGTGATTGGAGTACAGGAACATTTTTTACAGGGTACTGCCCGGGCAGACACATCAGATGGGGTCGGGCAATTTTTTTTTTTAACACATGTGGGGTCCGCCCCACATGTGAGAGGCCTGTAAGGCCTCGGTCCTGTACTTGCAGAATTGTCCTAAAACACTGCCTCAACTTGATTTCCACCGAACTTCCTTCCATTAAGTCCTTGTCGAGCCTTTGTTGCGCTTTCAATGTCCGCATACTCCAAGAAGACCTACATGATACAGGCTGGTTAAACCCAAAACAGTGACTTCTACGAGCATGTTTGTCCAATGAGCTCAAAAGTAGTAAAACTTACATTTGAACAGTTAGTTTTAAATGCTTTTAAGTATCAAAATAACTCATTTTCATTTCAATTTTCACCAATTATATAAAATTTATGATTAAAAAATAATGATAATAATAATCTAGTGTAATGGAAATACTTAAAATCACTACAAAAACTGGTACCAGCCTTTCCAACACCTGGTGTCGGTTCACCGTTAGGATTTGGGCGCGGGATGACAATATTCACCAAAGTACCTGCAACAAAAAATCAATACCTAGATCACATATTAATAGGATCCCTGGAAGTACCCATTGGGATGAAATAAAAGGGGCTATGGTCCTACGGACACTTTCTGAACGTTGAGGCGATTCCTATTAGCAGAACGTAGGACTAGATATGGCTGTAAGGAGGAAAGGCTCAACACGAGAGCGAAAATATTAATATGAAGATTGACAAGGCAGAATGTGAAAATTCATAAGTTGTGCAGTTCAAGATAGTTGAAGCATTTACCTAATTTTCCACATTCAGTTCTCATGTCTTCCAGTATATCTTCATAGTCCTCATCATCCTTGAGCTCGTTTTCTGTTACCACTTGTGTTAGGCACAAAACTTTTGTTGCTAGTGCCCCGGGTTGTAACATGAATCTCTGCAAAATGAAATGGAGTTGAAACAATGAATTCATGGGCCCATAGTTTCCAATTGAAATAATTCAAGGCAACCCACTAAATTCGTTTAAAAGAAAATTCTACGATAAGATATCAGAATAAGTCAATCCCAGCCATTAGGTCCTGCAAATAGATAAATTTGACCCATATATATGGCTTTAGTATTCATATCTAACTACTTGCTCATTATAAACCCCCTCCGCTTGTAGCAATATTAAGCTAGAGTCTTCTGATCGTGAGCACAGTAAAACCCCAAAAAAGCCTTTATAATTAGATAATTAGCCGGCCCGAGCTGGCTGAATCATAAGAGGTTGGCTGCAGCTTAGCCATGTTTGACGGCCATTATTTTGAAAAAAAAAATGATGTTTTGAATAGTTATTTTTTTTTTGGATAATGTGGTTAAAAAGTAGGAAAAAATTTGGGTTTACGTGCAAATATTTCATTCCACATAGCAATATTTCTGTCAGAACTTCAGGGAACAAATATGCATCTTATCAATCAGAAATTTCACGACCCCATTAAAACTCATCCATGAAAATAATACGTATTGTTTAGTGAAGAAGCTCTCAAACCTTTATATTTAGAATTATTCTTGTTGTACAGAACTATTCATCTACCAGATGAATCCAGATACTCACATGGTGGGTTCCACGGTGAATAAAAAATGGCCAAAAATCCCACCCACTCCCCCTATGTTGTGAGTGTTTGGCAGCGTGTACAGAAGCCATGCTTCTGTACATGCAGCAGACTTCTTATATTTATGGATCTTGAAGATGGTAGCACAATATGAGGCTGAAAAGTTAGCAGGGGATACGGAGTTTCCTTACCTGCAATGCAATTTGTTGCTGAGCGTGCAATAACACGCTCTCTTGTTCAGGATTAGGTTGTGTTGTACCTTGGTTAGCACGCCTAACAGTAAGCGTTTTATCCCCCATTTTTATCCCATTAAGAGCTGCACAAGCAATGTCTGTAACAGATAAATCCTGGTAAACACAAAATGCAGATCCTTTAGAATTTCCAGTTTCTCTATCTTTCACTAGATCAAAACCTCGAAGGGGTCCAAAGGATTCCAGCAGCTCCCTGATCTGTGCTTCTGTGAAATAATATGGCAAACCACCCAAAAAAATAAGGATCTGCATTTTGTGTTTACCAGGATTTATCTGTTACAGACATTGCTTGTGCAGCTCTTAATGGGATAAAAATGGGGGATAAAACGCTTTCGAAGGGGTCCAAAGGATTCCAGCAGCTCCCTGATCTGTGCTTCTGTGAAATAATATGGCAAACCACCCAAAAAAATAAGGTCTGGACCCTCAAGTCCACCAGCAGATCCAGGTGTTAACCCAACAGCTGCAAGGTTCAGGGTGGGATCAGGCTGGCTAGGGCCAAGAGTAGCAGCCAGTGATGGGTTGTAATCACTGGGTCTTCTGACCTTAACTGGTGCACCCTGGACAATTGATTGTTAATTAGTTATTCTTCTCGCTTTCGGTAGGAGATTATCTAAAGTTATTGTGTGTTGATTAGGTATCAATTGGAAGTTAACGTGAGATTCTGCTTTTTTAGTATCCGTTATAATGATTTGAATTTGATATTGATTTCAATTTGATTTGGTTCGAATTTAATAAATCTAAGTTGTTCAGCTTTAACATCATTTCCCGTTGTAGCCAGTGGCCATCAGTCCCAGATTGAGCAAACAATTCTGGGAAAAAACTGAAGTGATATTTTGGAAAGCGTATGGTCACAGTAAAGAGATATATGACCGTCTACCTAACAACCGCCGCAGCAAACCGAACCATGAAAAATTTGTAATACCTGATGCGGTTGAGTTCATTGTGCTCACATTGCTGTGACACAATGGAAATAAAAAATAATACGTAAATAAATCAAGCTATTAATCTGTAAATAAATCAAACTGTTAATCTGGACCAGACTCTTCACTCTGCACAGTGCGGAGACGGAGTTATTTACTCCGCAGTTGTGCTACTTAATATCAATTTGGACACTTGATTGAAGTCAAAAGCGTTTTCTTGCATTAATCATGGGTGTTCTTCATCTTTTCCTCAAAACAAAAAATGAGACAAACATAATTGCAAGAATCTAATTCCTTAATAATTGCAGCTGTAGAGAGCTCGAGACTAAATAGCAGGGCTCTGTTTTTGTAGGATAAGTATTTTCTCGTCCCATAAATTCATTTGTTCACATATTTTGAAATAAAATATTAATTTACCTTTTTGATAAGTTATTTATATTAGTTTGAGCTTACATTTTGTTTCTTGTATTAAAAATCAAGTACTTAAGTATTGAGTAATAAAGATTCGATTTATAACTCAATCTAAGTTCATCGTCGACGTTGATAAATAAAGATCTCAATGAGAATGTTTTAATCTTATTGAAGTTCGTCCAATTTTAATTTATTGGATCAAAAGATGATACTTGAAAGATTTTTAGGAGATAATTGGATGGAATTAGAATTCAAAAAGGAATTAAATATGATCAAAATACTATCAAAATCAATTTTCAATCGCACAAGTTATATTCCAGATTTTTTTGTCGAAAATTGAGACCCAGCCCATTTTTGGCATAGTAAACATCCGAATTGGAAAAATTCTACTTCTATCAAAATTTTAGTCCTTTGAGTTATCTTTCCAACACACTTTGAATCGCTTCAATCAGATATTGGGAGAGAAAGTGATGATCAAAATACTGGCGGTTGAGACAAAAATCCGCGCGCGAATGGAACTTTCCTTATTCGATTGGAACTTTCCTAAAAATTAATTTTGAATCTTCACTTGATTGAATTTTTGCAAATCCATAGAAGTGAACTTTAATCTACTCACAAAAAAATATATATATTACTTTTTTCGTCCGATCCAGAGAAGTGAACTTTATGAATATTGTGTATTTAAATTGGAAAAAAAAAAAATAACATAGATTCATGCAATATGGGGTCCCATTAGTACACTTAGGGTGTGTTTGAGTCACATTATTTCGGAAGAAAGTATTCTGGAATAGTAGATTAATGGAGAATGTGTGGTTGAAAAAGAAGGAAAAGTTATTGATATGATGAAAAATATTATTTTATTGAAAAACGTTTGATTGAAAATGAGTAGAAGAATGAAAATGAAAATTTTAATATGTACCAAACAGGAGCTTATACCCACTTTATTATATTCTCGCACGAGCTCACTAACTTTTATGTAGTATCAAATGGGTAAAATTCTTGCACAAAATTAAAATTGTACTAGTGAATGTATGAACTAATTAATTGCCGCATCTATGTCCCAATTTTTGTATGACTAGTGTACGCACGTGCGATGCACGTGCTACAGTTTAGTTGGGTATTTAATAGCGTGGAGTGATTTTAATTCTGTAAAATTCACCGGCACAAAACGTTGTTTTCTATTAATAAAGGCATCTCAAAGACAGAATAAAAATTTAAAAACTAACCTTGAGTTTGTCCTTGCTGGAAAGGAAACCATCTTCAGGCACTCAAACATTTTGAGGTGTGTCAACTCAAGATTCAAACGGCAAAAAGGGGAAGAGAGAGAGGGATTGAATCCAAATATTCACCGGTAGCGAGTTTTTAAATTTGAGATTAATCGATTTCAAAAACAACAAAACTTCTCTAATTTTAATATTAGGATTACATTCCATTTTCAAGTCTTCAGTTTGATTCTAGTGCTTAAGTACAAAATAAAAATGTCATCAAGTTTTCTCTTTCAGTCAAAAGAACATCGATGCAAATTCATCCAAACCATTTTAATCTATTCTAATGCAATCCATAATATTGGTTTCTGAACATTTCAACTATACAATATTTTTCCAAATGTAGAAAGCAACAGTATAAATTGTTCAAGATCTCAGCGCCAATGCTGAATATAACAATTAAATACGTGAAAGGATCAGAAAAAGAAGGTACTAACTAATAGTTTAATTATGAAGAAAAATTTTAGACTAAAGAACCTGTTAATGGTGATATTAACTGCCCTTCTGTCAGCCTCATAAGCTAGGATGTCAGACATTATCTCTGCAGTGGCGCAACCAAGTTTCTATTTTAAAACTTTCAAATTACAGTTGAGTCCCACCGAGGAATTCACACTTCCCAGGCAAAAGAAAAGGAACTTTGAAAATTCGAAAATAAACCCTTTACCTGACAGAATCTATAGAAATCCTGAAGGTATGCTTTATAGAGAGTATTCCTCATAATTTCAATATTCATGTCATCCAAGTCCTGCAAGAATGTCCTTGTGAGGGAAAAGCAGACATACAGACAGAATCCAGCATTAACTGAAAATCGTCAGCATACCAATCATTGTTCCAGCTTGATCTTACTAAGAAGCACAACCTATAGTTATTATCGCATGAAATGAAAGTACCCCTATCTTCTAGTACCATTTTCCCCTTCGTTCGATAATAAGAATCTCTTGGTCCCATTTTAATCAAATAATACAAAATTTAACAGATTCAGTTACAGTAACTGGGAGTTAATAGCATGAAGAACAATTAATGAGATTGACTTTCTCCACATTTTCGATATATTTCACTTCAGAGAATAAAGCTTTGACATCTATAAATTGGCATGGCATATATTCCTAAAAATATAAGCCTATTAGTAGTTGAGCTTCATGTTGAGAAGATCGTAATAGTTGAACTTTGATTATACAAATGGAACATAGTACAGGTAAATTTAGTAGCTACAAACGAAACGTTTCTCAACTACCACACAGCAAAATTATGTGCTGTTCATTTAAATTGTTGTACCTTGACTCATTCCGTATCTGTTGAAGATACAAAAACAAGTATTCAGGTTCATGTATGCCTCTGATGCAGACAAAGTTATAAACATAAAACTGACTCATTTCTCTACGTCAGTTTTGCACCGCCATATTTTTGCTTGATTTTTCTGCTTCTTTTATTAAGTGAACTCAAATAATAATTGCATATTTTATTAAGTGAAGTTGTCAATGGTATCAGTTTGACATAGCCAGAAGCTTCAAGACTATTATTAATTAACAAAAACATGATTTATGTTTTGTTGCTAAATCACCCCAATGCTTTGTCTTATCAACTGGTTCCTCCTGAAAATCAGCTCAATATGATGAAGTTGGATAAGTTAAATCTTAAGCACAAAAGCAGACACATGAATTGGAATATCATCATGGGGAGAAAAAAAAAATCATTTACGAAATTTTCATGAGGGACTGGTTTTCACCTCATAATTAGGCTGGTCTTGTTGCAAAACGCTAAAAACATCTCCATACAAGGGACTTTCATACTGGTGGAAGTGAAAATAAGAGAATAGTAAGAAAAAATACAAAAAAAAGGATGAGTGCAAATAAACATGGGAAGAAAGGTTAGGTAAACTGGATTGCAAGGGTCCGATTCCTTATAAACTCCCAAACCAAGCTCAATGATAGCACTTTATAGAAAGAAAAATAAAGAATAGAAAGAAAATAAAGAATGGAAAGAAAATAAAACTAATATGACAGTAATCAGTAATTAATTTAAGTGTACTTTAAAAAAAAATTAAGGCTGTAATTTTTAACAAGCTCAAAAAATGCAAAATGTAATTAATTTTTTGTCGTGAAACTTCAAGTTATTACCTTGTGTTTATTGTAGGTCATCACTCTCCTAATCACTCTAATAATTATTCTTATGGCAATACATGGTAAATGACTAAATAGACAAATCTCTTAGATACTCCAAGCACAATTTTCCTTTTTTCTCTATCAAGCATTTCAATATATTCTTTATACAAGAAGACTTTGTTGGTGCAAGACCTCCACATCTTATGGCATCCTCAATGCACCTGGACTCGGCTGCTAGAACCTAAGAAATTTATACAACCGCGCACCCAGTACAATGTCAAGAGGAGTTCAAAATACAATTCATTCCAACCTTTAAATGCAAGAAAAAGTAAATGAAGTGACAAATTAACCGATTCTAAAAATATATGCATGATCATTCCAATACTTCAAAAATCAGTCCAAGCCTAAATTGAATGTTCATACAAAATGAAATCAAACACTCACCACACTTGTCAAGGAACCCCACAATCTTGAAATGGACCGCAGTGGCATCAATCCCAAGAAGCTGGCCTATTAGTAATGAGAGTGAGTTAAGCAAAGAAGTCCGAATTAAGAAACTTATGATATCTTGTATCATTTACATGGGAAACATGGAATTACTTTAACATCAGGGTGGAACTCCAATTCAACTCCTTTTTCCCTTGCCTCTTCAATCTGATGCTCAAATATTAGAGAAGATGCAACAATCAATAAGAATATACATATAGACAATAAGCATGTATTGGTAAATAAGATATATTTCTGACAGTTATTGATAATATGATAGGTTCAAACAAAAGTTCCAAATCAACAATGCAGCAAATGAAACTGAAATGAGACTAAATATAATGTAAGATGCTAAGGCAAAGCTTCAGAAGGAACTTCAAGATTACAACAGAAAATATGCCAGGCCTCCAGGTATAAAGAACACTAATTTATCTGGCTGAACTTTCTAGGAACAATCACAGCAGCGATTTCCAGTATGCCTAACTGGACTATAATCAGACGGAATAGAAAATAATTAGAAGATAGATATAGTTCTCAAGCGAAAAGATATCAACAGTGAAAAATTGGTCAAATATACTAAGCGGATATTCTCCAGTAGAGGGCAAAGAGAAGTGACCTTGGTAGTTAATCGAGTATGTTTTATGCTCAAAAATGCTAAGTTTGAACTTACTTTTGGTTATAAAACATGCATAAACCAAACACACAGGTGAATCACAATTATAATTTGGAACAATTTAAAGTCGTTAGTAAATGAAAATGAAAATGTAAACTTCAGCTGGAAAGGTAGGTACAGAACATTTAGGATAACCAATTTTACAAAATTCTATTTGTTCTGGAAAGAATAATAAATTAGGCAAGATATGGAGAAATGGGTATAAGATGTTCTACTCTCACTCATCTTATAGACATATTACTTGCAGGAAAAAGATAACAGAAGACTTGTTAAAACTTCCAATAGACGTCTTCTTTTCTCTTTCTTTACTCTGCACACCGACTTAATACGTCAATGGACTCAAAGCTAAACAAACATGTCAGAGCTTTTATCCATTTCATTGTGGTTGTACAAAAAGCAATCCAAATAGAGTCCAGATCCCATCAACTATGAACTAAATTCGTGTGTGAAGGCATCTATACAATCCATGACCGTGTGTTATTAGCGAAAATTCATAAAAATGAATCCCATGAACCTGTCCAACGGGGTTCACTGATCACAAGGATATAAGGCACAAGAATTAATAAAGATAATATGCGAAAATAGCGTATTCCTTGGGATCACATTTTCTTCTACAGAACACAAAATGGTCACAAGAAAAGCATTGCATCCCATATCGAGCAATATGCACAAAAACCTACCTTCTTATCTTCATATATATGGCGTGCATGGAGAGCACCAAGCATAAGTATAGTTGCCAGAGTTGCCCCAGGCACCAAGAAAGAATTCCCTGCAGAGAAATCAACAGCAAGCTTCACTACTGGATCCTTTGCCTTTCAAAAATTTTCTACATTGGTAAAGTAATAACAGTAATGCAGGCAACCCCTTAACACTTGACACGCATTATTTGATTTATTTTTCTTGTCTCCCCTTCATCCTACATACTCAATATTAAATAGAGATTCTAATTTGCAATAAACCGTGCCAAAATTAAGCAAAAGATTATCAAATTGCAACAGATTAGTCAAATATTTCAGCAATGCCTAATTATTTTGAGCATACCAGGTTGAAGTTAACAGTGTGGAAGGAACCTCAATTTCCTGCATTTTGGCTGCTAGTGATAAACAAGTCACGGCTAAAAACTGAAATCCCCATATATTACTTCAATGTGAACACCAAGAAAGTAGTGACAAATCAATAATGGAGACAATAAGAATTTAATCACTGTGAAACAAAATGGTGTTGTAATCGAAAACTCACAGGCAGGTCATACACAGATTGAAATTGGTCAAAGTAATTCATAGCCAAACATAAACACGGTACACCAAATTTGTAGTGGGTATGAGCATGCAAAGATCAATTAACACAACTTGTTAATCAAAAATAAATAAAAATCTTTTGGGATGCATTTGCAATTACAAATAGAGAAACAGAGAGTTGAACATAATGTTCAACATCAATCAAGACAATTAAATTGCCCAAGAAAACATTGAATGAATGAATTATCATAAAATGCAGCAACTCCAGTGAGCACCTTAATTTCGACCCGTCTGTAAATAACCCATAAAATTCACACACATACCCACAATATATACATATAAAGATAGATACACAAATATATATATATACACACACGTACACGCGAGTCACTTGGTTCTCTTGGTTGCAGGTAACGTGAAACCAGGTGCAAGCATTAACAAGATTCTGATCCCAGCTCCGGGTCAGTCCTACAACGAAATAACCCACCCACGTCACGAAAAAGCCGATAATAATATTAGAAATCGCACCCCTAAACTGGAAAAAATTATACCAACCTTGAGAGTTAGTTAGACAGCGCGCAGAGACACGAGTCGTGTCATACAGAGACACGGTCGGTGTCTCTGGGAGACACGAAGGCACCGCCTCTCGCTTCGTTGCCGGAAAAATTAGGAACTCGCCTTTCACGCAGCGGTAAGGTTGGGGATGGATGAATGTAGTCCGCTGGGGGCAGTTTTCAGTGCCGGTGGCTTTGCGGTGGGGGCGGTTTCCGATGGATGATGGATGGAGGAGAAGCTGAAGCTCATCGACGGTTTCATTGCTGAATTGAGAGGAAGATCGAGAGGAAATTGGGGGATTGAAAACGGGCAAAATGAGAAGAAATGGAGCAATCGATTTTTTTTGTAGGGATTCATGCCAAAACGACGTCGTTTCATCGGACGAAACTGTGAACAGTGTTTTCAAAAGTGGCTCTTTTATTGTATAGGGATATAAATTACCGCGTCCATGTTCCCACAAATACGGTCAAATATTCTAACCCCACAATTTAACACTCTAAAAAAAGGGAAAACACTTTAAATGTCTCAAGGGCCGCCTGACCCAATTAGATAAAATACAAAATTTAATCTCAGTCATCAAGCCCATAAGCACAAAATCCCACCGACTGCAAACTGAGGTATAAATATGGCAATATTTGGCGCCATTTTAGTACGCATTAAATTCTCAGCCATGATAGAATCTGCACCGCCAAAACAGGTAAATTTGATTGTTAGTTATTCTTCTCGTTTTCGGTAGGAGATTATCTAGAGTTGATGTCTGTTGATTAGGTATCAATTGGAAGTTAACGTGAGTTTCTGCTTTTTTTTAGTATCTGTTAATGATTTGAATTTGATATTGATTTGAATTTGATTTGGTTTGAATTTAATAAATCTAAGTTGTTCAGCTTTAACATCTTTTCATGCTGTAGCCAGTGGCCACTAGTCCTACATTGAGCAAACAATTCTGGGAAAAAGCTGAAGTGATATTTTGGAAAGCGTATTGTTACGACCCACTCGTTTCATAGTAAAGATGTCGGAATTATCTAAAACAATGGTGTCTTGAGGATAATCCGAAATGTTCTAAACTATGATGGCACATGAAACTAATTAGAAGGTGTTGGAGAATTCTAGAGAATTCACAAGTCTTATACTTTTGGATTATTCTAGATAATCCTAATTAATTCTTTATAAATATTTTATTACGGATATTTGTAGAGAATTCTAGAGATGGAATATAGACCGTAGGATCAAATTGATCCTACCCATCCATTAAGAATGACTTTGCTTATAAATAGTTTGGTAGATTCATTCATTTGAAATGAAGAGAGTGAAGTTGTAAATCTCTAAGTATTGTAAGGTTTCTTTGTTCAATACAAAACTTTCTTTATAAACACTTGTGTTCCTTCTTTAAATTCTTGCATGTGTTCTACTTGGTGCCTTTCTAAGACCTCGACGCTAGTAGGGAGGCTGACTTAGTGAAAAAACCGAAGGGGCGAAAGTTCGAGACACTAAGTGCCGCACGGTGCTTGAGGAAAACAGCAAGTCCGTGACAGATTGGAGACACTAAGTGTCGCACGGTACTTGAAGAAAACAACAAATCCGTGATAGTACGGTCACAGTAAAGATATATATGATCGTCTACCTAACAACCTCCGCGGCAAACCAAACAGTGAAGAATTTGTAATACCTCATGCGATTGAATTCATTGTGCTCACATTGCCGTGACACAATGGAAATAAAAAATAATACATAAATAAATCAAGCTATTAATCTGCAAATAAATTAAATTGTTAATCTGGACCAGACTCTTCACACTGCACGGTGCAGAGATGGAGTGATTCGCTCCGCAGTTGTGCTACTTAATATCAATTTGGACACTTGATTGTAGTCAAAAGCATTTTCTTGCATTAATCATGCGTGTTCTTCATCTTTTCCTCAAATCAAAAAATGAGACAAACATAATTGCAAGAATATGATTCCTTAATAATTGCAGCTGTGGAAAGCTCGAGACTAAATAGAAAGTCTGAATTTGAGGAAGTGCAATCTTCCTGTTAAAATCTGTTCTGAGTTTTTCCCTTCTTCTGGTTTATTTCTTTGTTGGTTATCATATGTTGCTTCTGCTGGTTTTCTCTATATCTGTTTATTCTTCTTGCTAGTTTCTCTGCATCTGTTCTTGTTGTGATTGCTACTGGTTTCAATATGTTATTTGTCGGTGCACTGCTGTTTTTCTGTAGCTGTTCTCTTCTTCATATCAAGTCCGCTGGTGCAACAATGTGCTTCCATTGATTCTGTATTAACTTCAGGATTAAATGAAGTCATTCAGCCCCAACAATAATCATTGAGAAAATCCATTTACAATCAATGCGCTGTTCTGCCTCTTCTTTTTGTTGGCAACTACGATGCTGGTCGAAACTAAGGGGTTTGCATTAATTAGGCGATTCATATTTAATAAAGGGAAAAATCATTCATTTAAACCATGTGATTACTTTAGTGAGATTTTGGTTTCGTTGTATCCTGCGAAGGGCATGAATAATGTTTTAAGATAGTTTGGACATTTCTTGACGTTTACATCTACTTTTTATTCAAGTTTGTCTTTCCCTCTCAAGACTGTTTAGGATAAATGTCAAAAATGATTATTATGAGCACCTATCTGCTAAATTATGAGATGAGCTTCCTAATTTCATCTGTATCAAGTTAATTAGCTTCTATCTCATTATTATTGTTTTATAGAATGAACAAAGTTCTCGCATATTTTAATGTCAATCCAATCTTCTTTCCGAGTTGTACTGCTAATAGTGATTTTCGCTTCTGTGTCTTCGGGTTACATTACCTAAATGCTCGATTCCAATCCCCATCCGGTGCAAAACCATCATTCCTTAAAAAAAAAAAGTATCAACAAAGCAGAGTGATAAGTGTGTTTTGTGCACTTATTTATGCCACAAAACATGGCTCATTTCTGGCACCGAATTTTCTGTTTCCTTATTCGAATAGATATCTTGTGAAAAGATATCTTGACACCCTATTTAAGTCTAAACCCGTCCAAAAACTATGGTTACACATTATTTTGAGAGAATCACGCATTCGTAGGGAGAAAAACATCATTGAAGAGCAAGGAAGAGGGCTAGAACAAGGGTTTTCAGTTCAAGCTTCAAGATTTCAAGCATAAATTCTAGTTTTTGGGTGATATC